AGGATCGTGTGAGCTTCCTTGAACTTCCTTCAAGCTATTACAATGCCTAGTTTGCTTTGTGGATGGCTAGAACTCCTTGTAGAAGTCAAGCTGCAAGCTCCAAATTTGAAAATGGAAATGGCTGAAACAGGGTTTACAGATGCAGGGAAATGGATTGGATAGATTTGATATGATGTGGATAAGATGTTTCAAGTGCCAAGCCACAAAACGCACGAGCAAAAAATGAGTTTGTTATGGTTTTGCAGAAACTGGATGTTTGGACAGAAAAATGAAGTTTTGGAGTTTTGGAGTGTTTCAGATGTCAAGCATTCGTGTTTAGCCTTGCAATGAATTTTTATATTTGTATAGAATGATACAAAGTCCACTCCTTATCAATTGTACAAGTTCTGACCTCTTTTGCAACTTTTCTTGCATTTGAAGAAAAGTGAAGTGACCAATGCAAACATGCTTGTACTGGCTGGCTTGTGAGCTGCAGAGAGTTGGTATACATTTCTTGTGACCTGTAGAAATTGTTTGCATCAAAGGGACATGTCCAAGGCTCAAGTTGGACAAAGTTGCAAAAGTTGCACTTTATGAAAATGGCAATGTGAGCTTTATGCCTAAAATGGAATTACAACTTGTATAATGCTTCAAAAGTGAAAATAAAGCCTTTAACCTCTGAGTTTGCATTTAATTATGGAGTGTAGAATGTGTTTAGGACCTGTAATGCAAGGTACAAGCATCATGGATCTGATTTTCAACTTGATACTTTGTGAAAATGGCATGAACAAAAGTGATAAAATGCCAACTTCTCCTCTTCGATTCTCCCTAACCACAAATGATCTTGGAGAGTTCTTGGACATTTTAGAAATCTTGCAATGTGCTATATAATCCATATTTGAAATGCATTTTGAGATTCCTCTTGGAACTAGGTGAAAAATGTTCATGAAGTTGGGTCCAAAACCTGCCTAAATTAGGGCAAATTTTCACTAAGTTAAGAAGTTCATGGACCTATGTTCACAAATTCATAACTTGATATCCAAGCATCTTTTGGGAAAAGTTTGTGAATAAAAGTTATAGATTTCATGTAGGACTACAACTTTCATGTTGGAAGTTTTCTTTTAATCAAATTGCATCATGGTGAAAAAGTGGTGGAAAGTTGGGAAAAAATAAGAAGATTTCCATACTTAGAAAAATTCTAAGTTATGAAAATTTTCAAATTCAAAACCCTAATTTTCAAAATTAGTTTTCTTGGTGAACAAGTTTAATGTTTTGACATATCTTGATGAATTATGACCCTTGGCACTTGATTTTGACCAAAAAGTCAAAGTTTGACTTTTCAGTGTACAATTGACTTTTGATCACTTGACTGCAAAATTCATCTGTCAATCCAATAAACTTGAGATCTTTTGAACCATGTAATTAGGTCAAGATGATGCCATTGAACCCTTGAAATCATGCTTGAACTCAATTGGTAATTGGCTAGGTTAAAAATCAGAAATTGCCCTTTCTCAATCAAAACCCTAATTTTGACCATTTTGCCCTTTTGATGGTTTGATCAAATTTCTTGAGGAGTTGGGATCCAAACTTGATCAAATGGTACATATGAGTCTAAAATGTTGATGTGGATAAAAAATTATGAAGTTTGACTGTAAATTGACCATGGTTGACTTTTTCCCCAATATAGCTGATTTTTAGGTCAACTGTCCAATTGACTGATCAAAAATGTGATTCAAGGCTTGAAACTTAACATGAGCAATCTTAGGGGTCCAAGATGGTGTATGAAAGTCACATGAAGCATTGATGGTCCAAAAATCCTTGTGCAAACTTAAACCCTAATTTTAGGTTATCAGTGCAAGATGATGTGTCTTGAGCTGATCAAACCCTAGTCTTGTCTTGAGTCCAAGAAGTCTTGTGAGAAAAGTCTTGATAAATGAGAGGGAAAATTTTGGGGTACAACAGTCATGAACACTTTTACTAAAAAGGACACTCACAAAAACATGTTGTGCTTTAAGAGGGATGATGTCCTTGCTAACACAATTGCTAAGGTCAAAAATTTGGAATCACAAAACTAAGATCATCCAAAGCTCTATTGAAATTAGAGTCCATATCATATACCTCATTGTCTCTCAATATATGATCGTATAACATCCAATATTGGACCCTATAAGCCACAAAATTGTATGAGGCAACCTCTACTGCCGAGTATAAACCTTATCCCCCAACTATAATGGATAAAGAGGCCACCCTCCATTGAAGGTCTCCGAAGAAACAACCTCTACCAACCACAATATCTTTAACCGTCATTTGTAATTCATTATCAACCCAAATAGTTGTTTCCTCTTTATGAATAGGTTAACATGTTCTTAGGGTAAAATAATAATTTGTCAATACCCATGCAAGATCGAAGCAGAAGAAGCTCACTTTAAGGATCCTTTAATTGTTGTAGGAGATACATTAACTCTAAAGCCCTGAAAGTCTTCTTCATGGATAACACATTGATAAATTAGTCATCTCGACTAACATCCTCTCCAAATAAATTCATCCCCAACATCAACCTCCTAATGTATGACAAGAACAAATCCTCATAGATTTCATTATCGTCACATGAAGGCCAAAAGATCTTAGTCTAACGAATATTCAATTTGAGACCTAATCCTAGACCTATCTCCCAAATGATGTCAAAGGCTTTAGCCACCTCTTGTGTATCATCTATCATGGTCCCATCATCAAGATACTAGGCACGAGGAAGAAACTTATAAATGTCTTTAACTTGGTGAATGCGTGAGTGTAACACAAGAGCAAAAAGGAACGACTCTGACATGCCACCTTGTTGCACTCTAGTGGGTGATATAATATGTCCATCCCCAAGGTACAACCTCGTTGCTTGGATATAAGAAAACTCAGCAAACAAATAAATACATGGATATTTCACCTTTACCTCGCCAATAGATTTTTTATATCTACTATGTTGAAATCATTCAAGAAATCTATCGTGAGCATAACCAAAGAACCATCTCCATGTAGATTACTTAACACCCTGTTAGCACTCTACAAAATGGCCTTAGCACCACCCGATACCCCAACCCCAAACTAAAAGTCATTGAGACAACATGTGACATCTTTACAGACCCCCTTTCATAGCAACCTTGGATCGAACCACCTCCAAATAGAACTCACAATAATTGGTCGTATCCCACCACCAGACTCTAATAACGATGTCAATGGTGTAAAGACAATAAATTCTGCTAACTCATGAGACATCTTCCTCTTATCCATAAGTTAACAACTAGAGTGATGACATATAAAAGATCTCTTGCCACAACATAACCTTCTTCATATAGTGCATCTAATATATGTCGAGCACACAAACCATCTATATCACAAGACACTCCTTTGGTAAATGATTTAGTGCACTTGAAAATATTACCAACATCAACCACTGAAGGAGCTTAGAAGAACAAGGTGGTCGACATGGAGGGAGGTGGCCAGTACGAGTGCTTAGCCTCTAAAGACTTCAGTGTATGTCCATAATAGGGGGACACTCTGAATGACCCCAATATTTTTACAACTGTTGTGAAATGACAAGCTACAATCTTGCAGGGGCTTTGCTTAACATTGTAAATCATTTTTATCCTTATCCTCAATATAAACTACCTCATGACCCAAATTATCTTGCTCAGAGCTGTCTAACACACTATTAACTAACTTGGCAAGATCATTTGCGTTTCTCCAGGTAGCTTAACACTCTAAAATGTGATGTTGTTGCAAAGACTTTTGATTTCTAGACTTGCGATCCCATTTATTCTAAGGCTTAACCACATGTAAAGCACAATGAGAAAGAAGTAACAACATATCCCAAGCACCCACTGATCCTAGGTCAATAACCACTTATAAAGAGCATCTTTTAATGCTTGAGAGAAAGCATAACGATATATAAGAGATATGCTCTTCAAGGTGAAGATATGTGTTGAAAGAACTCTCTCTAATAATCTTGCATCCAAAACAAGCTCCTCGTTTGTTTCGAGGTTATCCGAATCTATTACTTATAATTTAATAATACACACAATGTCACTTCCAACCTCTCATGTTCTATGAGTAACACAAATCAACCATCACAGTGATCACATGCCTGACTCATGGCATGAATGTTGTGCCATGAGAATTTCTCAAATTTTATTACATAATTTTTGGAAATAATATACGCCCTATTAGTATTACACATTACACATAATAAAACTGAATAAATAGGATCACTTGGCTTGTTTATTTCCAAATGGAGACATGGAACAAGTGGGAGAGCAATTATAAGCGTGCGATTAAGATGTAGATATAAACGCGTTGTCATTGGAGCCGTCCGATGATAAAACGAGGGAAATGAAATGAAAGGATGCAGCAAAAGCATCGCGTCTCTCTTTTTATTATTTAATTATTTATTTATTTAACTACAACGAGAGCGATCTCTCTCTCTCTCTCTCTCTCTCTCTGAAGAGAACGATGGTGATGGTGATGGTGATGCTGTGTTCTTTGTTAGGGTTTGATCCACATTGCGTTTGCGAACTCCTCTTTCACATCCAGGTTTTTAATTGGATTCCTACTTAGGGTTTCGCACTTTTTCTTTCCCTTTTCTCTCGATCTAGGGTTTATGCTATTGATCTCATTTTTTCTCCTCATTTTCCCAACACCTTTTCGCTAATTCAGGAAACCATCTCTTATAATTGCGAGATTTTAGTGATGAATGTTTTTGCACCTGGGAACAAGAGAGAACAATATTGTTATTACTTGATCAATAAAGTTTAGTTTTTTTTTTTTTTTTGGTTTAGAGATAGAACTGAAATTAGTCTATTGGGTATGAGACAAGTGCACCCATCACTGGGTTTTATCATTTTTTGCGTTAAAATTTGGAGGATAAGACTTGATTCTTCTTGCTTCTGACAATTTTGGTTTAGAAGATTGATCTGTGGGAGAAATATTTGTTGCCGTAGTTGATTTGATATGTGCGGTTGTTGGAATTTCATCTTATGGCACCAACTGTTCCCATAGATTTTGCTGGGCAAAAGGAATCCAGAAAATACTCTCATTCACAAAACATGGGAAAATCTCGAAAATATTCTAAAGGGAATTCTGCTGGATTTGTTCCTGAATTCCGTCATGTTGTAGAGACTATGGGTGAATCGGATGGATTGGGTAGCTCGGGAAGGGTTGAGATGGAGCCGGCGGCATCAGCAGATTCCTATGCACCGAACAGGAAAGGCCCTGGTTTGAAAAGTGATAGTTGTTATGGTAGTTTTGATGTACCTTATCAACTTTTCTCGTTGTCTAAAATGTCGGCTATGGAAAGAAGGGATTTGAAATTGAGATTAACTTGGGAACTTGAACAAGTGAGGAAACTTCAGAAGAAAATTGATGGTATGAATTCAACCATTATTGGATTATCTCCGTCCAGTGACATAAGGAGCTGCAGTGTGGGACAGAAAAGGCCTCAGCTGGAGAGCCAATACAGTATACTGCAAGCATCAGTGCCACATGGTAAGAAAAGACCTCTGCCAGGACGTAGTGGTCCCAAGACAAAAAAAAGTATGTCTGGGCGTTTTGAATATCCGAAACCTGCTGCACCAATGGATTCATATGATACATTGATGAAACAGTGTGAGAATTTACTTAACCGTTTGATGTCTCATCAATTCGGTTGGGTTTTTAATAAGCCAGTTGATCCTGTTGCATTGAACATTCCTGATTATTTCAATGTCATCAGACATCCAATGGATTTGGGGACTGTGAAGAGTAAACTTACATCTGGTAAATATTCAAATCTCATGGATTTTGCTGCTGATGTGAAGCTGACATTCTCAAACGCATTGACTTATAATCCACCTGGCAATGATGTGCATAGCATGGCAACTACTCTTAATAAAGCCTTTCAAACAAAATGGAAGTCCATCGAGAAGAAAATTCCTGTCATTGATCACCGTGTCTCATCTGAGCTTTCGAAACATACACACATAGAAACTGAAATTTCTGACCCAATCCCCCCCATAAAAAAGAAGAAAATGACACCAAATAACCCTAATACTAAGCCAGAACCTGTCAAAAGAATCATGAGTGACATGGAGAAGCAGAAATTGAGTCAAGAGTTGGAAGAGATGCTTGGAGAGTTGCCTGAAACCATTTTGGATTTTTTGAAAGAGCAAAGTCACAATGCAGGGCAAACCAATGATGACGAAATTGAGATTGATATTGATACTCTTAGTGATGATACCTTATTCAAATTGCGGAAGCTTCTTGATGATTACATGCTGGAGAAGCAACGATTCCAGCCAAAAGCTGGACAGTGTGAAATGGAGGTGTCTTTCTCTTTCTTTCTCTTTCTCTTTCTCTGTGTGTGTGTGTGGTTTACATTTATGTCAAAATCATATGATACATCAATGTATTTAAGATCTATGAAATTATGATATTAATCTGCCTTATGGTTATGATTCTTTCAAGGGTAATGCTAACTTGTGCCCTAAGGGCACATGTTAAGAAACCTACAAATAGAAAGTTTGTATTGGAAAAAGCAATAAAAAGTTAATTATAATTTTTTAATAAATCAATGCACAATTTTCAAGATTTTTTTTCCATATTTAGCTCTTAACTTGTGCCTTTAGGGCACATGTTAGCATTACCCTTCTTTCAGCTTAGCACTTGATTTGTTGAAATTTTGACATTGAATTTCTTTACTGCATTGAATGTGTTAGACCCTTTTACTCAGTGTAAAGCACATCCTCAGTTATATGTGTTTAAATGTGCAGTAAACCACTATTATATGCATGTTTGTAAATCAACTACTTTGTCTCATTCGACTGACGTTTTTCCCTATTGCTTGATTTTAATGCAGCTTCTTAATGAATCTGGGTTTAGTAATTCATCAATGCAACCTTCTAAAGGTATAGTTTGTATTTTTCCCCTCGTTTTGCAAATGTTTTTGTATCCATATAGTACAAATGTCAACGGTAGTTGACTCTAATCATGATCCTTTATTTTCACTGCAAATGCCAGGCAATGAACTGGTTGAGGAGGATGTTGACATTATTGGTGGGAATGATCCTCCTAATTCAATTTATCCTCCCCTAGAGATTGAGAAAGATGGGGCCAACAGAAACAGTAAATGCAGTAGTTCAAGCAGTTCTAGTAGTGAATCTGGCTCATCATCCAGTGGTTCGTGTTAGTGCATACTTTTGATATGTTTCCTATAGCAGGCCATGTTTATAGTCTTCTAATTGCAGCATGTATACCCAGATCTCTACATTTTTATTTCTTTTAGTAGTGGTTTTCCTCAACTGTCATGCAAACCAAATTTCTATTATCTTGAGTCCTTAAACTATTTTACTTTTTTTCCAGCTCCCAGTCAAGCTTTTAGGTATAACTGGTCTATGTAATAATTTTGGACCGTTTCATCCATCTAGTATTCCAGTGTTGTTTGCCTTGTTAATGATATTCCTCTCACTTTACTATTTCATTAACCAAGTGTTATGGTGTAAAGTGGTCGCTGGCAGGAACTTTCCATTTTTTCCTGCCTTAAGATTACATCCGTTATTGGTTTTGATTACTTTATAAACAATTGTGTGATTTATTTTGCTAGAAGTGTTTACTCAATAAGTTGTTGGTCAACTTTGATGTATTGAGATAAAAGAAAATGCTTGTTATGTCAATTTACTTCTTGTTACAGAGATACTTGTGCGTAGCCTTGTTAAGTAGCTTGTGCGTAGCCTTGTTAAGTAGGAAAATAGACGGGCATAGTTTCTTTCAGTATTTCTCGTATAAGTTCAGCAGCTATTGTCGATTTTCTACTTTTTTTGGCTTTTGATGATGGCAAAATCAGACACTTGTAAATGATTTTTTTCTGAATGCTAGAATATTTTTTGTCTGACTGTTGCAATTGTGGCACAACAGATTCAGATTCAAGTAGTTCATCTGGTAGTGAGTTAGATACTGCTAAGGTGCCAGAACCTCTTAGTTCTAAGGTGATTGGGGTACATACAATATCAAATGTTGTGTTATTCATAGAAATAAATTTTAATTCTCCTTTGACCATTTTCTATGTTAAAAATCAATACACATTGCAGGAAAATATAGGTCCTGGCTTGACTTATGATCAGAACAGGGGGGATCCTGGTAATCCAGTAACTGGAAATGGTGGGTCATAGAATTTATGGTGTTTTGTAACCATGTGCATATTATAGTTTCTTTGCATGCTTTTTGATGTTGATCTGCTCACCTTTATGTGCATAGGACCTTTGTTGTTTTCTTTCTCATTATTTATTTCCTGTATAGATTCAAATAACCCGGGTAGCCAGGTTGACCAGAGTTTGGAGACTAAGACAGTTACTATCGAATCAGAAAGCCACCAAGATGGTAAGCTTGAAAAATGCAGCAATATGTCTGCTATTAGTTTTGGGGCATGATCTCACCCTTCATGCTGTAACGTTTTAGGGGAGAGTGCTGCGTCTAAGAGGCAAGTCTCTCCGGAAAAGCTCTACCGTGCAGCTTTATTAAGGAGCCGGTTTGCTGACACCATATTCAAAGCTCAAGAGAAAGCCCTTGAAAAGGTTTGTTAAGGGGGTAATATGGCAGTTGAAGTTTCAATTTGGCGTATTGTAGAATAGGCTGGGTTTGTTAAACTTAAAAAAAAACAGCCATCTGAAAACCATCTAGGTTTAAGTATTTAGTTTTTGTCTGTCTCATCAGTAGAGAATCTCTACTATTGCTAAAGTAACACAAATTTGGTAATTGCTATGTTACCTGTATTGCTACCTTTTTCAAGTTTCATGTGAAAATCGGTGTTTCAATTCCAACTTGATCTCAGGATGATAAACGTGACCCTGAAAAGCTTAGGATAGAGCGGGAAGAACTTGAAAGAAGGCAGAAGGAAGGTTTGTTGTTTGTTTTTTACCTTGTAATATTTCTTCTCTAAATGTTGACCTTTATACAATACTGCTTCTGTTTTTCATGATTTGTCTGATTGATAATTTTGTTTTTGTGCATCAGAGAAAGCTCGGCTACAAGCAGAGGCAAAGGCTGCAGAAGAGGCTCGGAGGAAAGCTGAAGCAGAAGCTGAAGCTGAAGCCAAAAGGAAGAGGGAACTGGAGAGAGAAGCAGCACGCCAGGCTTTGCAAAAGGTAGTTTGGATTTATGTCCAAATACAAATTTAACTTCCTGGCACGTTTCACTGAGCAGCTCTGTTTGCAGATGGAGAAAACTGTTGACATCAATGAGAGCTGTCAATTTTTGGAAGATCTAGAGATGCTGAGTGCTGTACCTGATGAAAATACACTAAGTTTCAAAGAGGAAGCAAGCCCAGATGATCATCAAAATGGATTTGGGGGGATCAGGCTGCAGGGAAATCCCTTAGAACAGTTAGGACTGTACATGAAGGTTGATGATGAAGATGAGGAGGAAGAACTGCCTCAAAGTGCTGCTGAGCCAACGAAAGATGTAGAAGAAGGAGAAATTGATTGATGTTGTCCCAATTAATTGTTGAATCATTTGAACAAAAATATATGAGCAGTGGTTCTGAGCAGTAGTTGCTGGATTTAGTGATGCTGCAAATGTTGGCTCCACACTCTGAAGTTTGAAGGCCGGACAGTAAAAAGTTAAAAAAGGACATGAAGCTTGGATTTGGCTTATCCATTCTGATTAAATTTGGCTTTCACTTGGAAAATGGTTTCTGGGTGTGTTAATAGCTTGCGCACAGTCCCCACTTATTGAAGGGCTTTGGGTACTGATTTGCCCAGTTTTGCCTTTAAAGATTAACTCATTTGTAACGAGTTCTATGGCGGAGCTTGAGTAGTTAACTTCACTCACATTGTACAATATGTTAGATCCGAGTAGAAATTAATTCTTTCTATTTATTGTTTCTTTAGCCTGCTGGTGTGAACTTTATTGTTTCTTTGATATATTCTATTAATAGTTTCAGTAAAATACTGTTCTCTTCGTGACTTTCACGAAGACTTTTTTTCATTCTTTTTTTACAATACCCGAAGACCATTTGTTGGTGTATTTATATTGTTTGGAGTATTCGTGTTGTTTGAAGTTATGCTTTTATATTGTTTAAGGAACAGTTACGGCAGATACATATAATGGAAAATAATATCCTAAAACAAGAAAAAACTGAATGGCCGTTGCCGTAGTGTTACTCTACACTGCAAAATTTATTCACATTTCTCACTCTAACTGTACACGTGTTACTCAATAACAATAATGCTTTAATCCATAATAATGCTTTGTAGCATCATTTCTCAATCACGCCTTCATCTGACAATCTAGAAGTCTCGGTTCCATTAACATGGATTTGATCTGCGACATCATTATTGCCAAGAATACTAAAGTCAAAACCGTCGTCGTCGTCATCCTCATCATCCTCTTCTTCATCACCTTCACCTTGCTTTATATACTCATCGAATTCTTTGCCCTGAAGCTTGATGCTATCTTCATACGGCATTTCACACCAAACAGTGCCCTTGCCCACAATTGATTTGTTATGAGTATCTGTCATCCTCTTTTTTCTGCTCTTTTCTGAATTCTTGGGTTCTCCCCAATAGTCATAACGATATAGAGGACTTTCAGGATCATACTGGCCTTTACCGAAAAAACTAGCATCCACATACCTTCCTGGCTCTTCCAATGGTAGTCCAAGAGTTTTGCGACTACAAAAAAGAGAAAGGCAGGTAAAAGATATGCATCATAACAAGAAATGAGACTTATAGACATGAATACAACTATACCAGCTGATGTCTCTAATCAAAGCTTCTCTTTCTTCAAATGATCTACGCCAATGCATAAAATCATATTCATCCATCTCAATATTGCGCTTCAATGTGGTAATTTTGTACTCCTTACCTCTGTCCTTTGCTTCCTTCCATAGTTTCTTATGGTGCTGTATCCCCAAAAGGTTACCTCAGATTAATGAAAGAGACAACTATTCTTCGGATAAACTTTTTTTAAAGAAAATTTAAGAATAGATTACAAAAACAGTGACTAATTGTGGTTTTAAAATCACTTTTAACTTATTGTGAATATATAAATTATTGAATAACGTCTCAAGTCCTATTTAAACACAAGAATAAACCATCCGTTTTTATTCTAAAACTATAATTGTCTAGCAATTTAGGACCCTAAATTTACGGGAAAAATTAAATTCTCTAACATTAGAATATTTTAGGGATCTTTGATATTTTGTAATTTTAAGGTCTGAAATTGCCTGACTTGCAATTTCAGGACCCACAATGGTAGTTTACTCTTTCACCGTCAATGTCCATGAAAATAACAGCTTGACTGGTCTTGGTCAAGGAGTTTTTGTGAAATAAATCAAGAAAATATCCATAACAAGACAAATTAATGTCCAAATGAACTGAATTCCCAGCAGAGTAGAATCAATAAGCTATATGATTTGGGTGGTCACTGGTCAAAAGATTGAGTTGAGAAGAAAATTATCAAATAATCTAGTATAATATATGTTTTGAAGGATACTTGAGCCGTACATCTCTTAAAATTTTGGTCATCAGAATTTGCAAAAGCACTAGCAGTAAATCTGAGTATCTGACACTAGGCTCAGGGAAAGAGTGAAAATTCATGCAGTGAATAATTGGTTTGGTTATATTGCCTTTGACTCTTCAAAAAAATTCGAAGGCTTCATTTAAAAGGCACAAAGTGGTCCATAGAACCAGCAATGTAATATGCATTGGCAATAACAGGAAATCTGACTGACCTCACGCTCAGCAAGTGCAGCCTCTAAGTCAAGCTCTTTGACACTTGTTTTCTGCCAAAGTTATAAACAATAAGTAAATAATATATGCAACCAAATGAATGTAAGTTCAGAGTATAAGCTTGTTAGAAAGAAGAGACTAAATCCCTTTAAATCGGATTATGATATTAAGAATGTGTTTTATGACATGTTCATAAAATGTTCTCAACTTAATTTACTAAAACTCAGTAGAATAGCTTATGAATAAGTGGTTTATTCATATCAAATGCATCCTTAATTACAAATTATGGACAGCTTTAACTTTAAGATTTCTTTTTTAAAAATTTGAGCATTTATTCATGTAGTATAAGTATCTTTATTCATATATAATACATATATGAATTAAAAAAAAATATAACACATGGTATATTATAGAGAATTTTCATGAACTACTACTAAACATATATCTAACTTCAATATAGTGGCCATCTTCTATGTGCTATCCATATATGTTTGGGATTGAGAACTATATTAACAGTTGGAAGTTATTAGAGAGACAAGTACATAATCAATAAATTATGTGTTATACAACTCAGCATAATATTCATTGTAAATAATAATTAATAATTAACTATTAATAATTAGTAATTAGTTGTCTTCTACCATATTTAGAATTAGCATTTAAAGTGATTTGTCCCCTGTATTCTATAAATACCTTTCATGTATTACTTACTACAATATCAAAGAAATACAGATTGTTTGTTTCTTTATGGTATCAGAGCACCCGATTCTAGGGGCTCTGCTTCCGTGTTCAAAACACTAGTCGTTCTTATTACGACCCTTTTTTCTTGGTCAAGGTTCCCTTTCTCTTGGAACCCTAGTGATCTCGATGACTTTGCAGCCGTCGTGCACCGCTCAACCGTCGTTGCAGATCCGAACGGTTTCACCTTCATTGTTGTATCTTTGTTTCTTGCTGTTTGCAACCCTTGATTGTTAGGTTGTCATCTTTGTTGGAGTTTCTCATTGGCAACCCTTCGATCTTCTCCTAACAGTAGATCTCGACTCTCCTGGCTCAAGACGGTTTGTTTCTCTATGGACTCCTTAAGTTCTCTGACTATGACTGGTAAGAACTCTAGCTTCTTAGCTTTTAATGCCTCTTTTTCTAAAGATATTTGGATTATTGACTCCGGTGCAACCGATCTCATGACCCATATATGTCATATCTCTCTTCTTATTCACCTTTACCTAATAAATGCCATATTACCGTTGCAAATGAGTCCCAAACCCCGATTGTCGGATCTGGTAACATCCACCTAAGTCCATCTCTCCACCTAAATCATGTGCTTCATGTCCCTAAACTTTCTAACAATCTTTTGTCCATCTATAAACTCACTAAAGACTTGAATTGTGTTGTAACCTTTTTTCATTCTCATTGTGTTTTTCAGGACCTTGCCACAGGGAAGACGATTGGAATTGCTGAGGAACAAAACGAGTTATATTATCTGCCGCATAAGGAAAGCAAATGTCATTAGGCTGGTTCAGAGTCATGGACAAATACTCAAATATGGCTCCAACACAGGCATCTTGAACATCCTCCTTTCCGCATGCTCAGGTCTCTATTTCCTCACCTATTTACCAAAGTGTTTGTTGATTCCTTTCATTGTGATGTGTGTCAGTTTGTCAAATCCCATCGAGCAACCTATTCCCCTAGTGATACTAAGAGTGTCAAACCCTTTGATCTTGTTCATTCTGATGTATGGGAGCCTTCGTCCATTTCCAATATTTCTGGTGCAAAATGGTATGTTATTTTTATTGATGATTGTACTCGGGTTACATGGGTTTTTCTTATGAAAGATAAGTCTGAAGTGTGTCAATTGTTTGTTAACTTTTTTCAAATGGTTAAAACGCAGTTTGGGAAACATATTAAAAGATTACGGTCAAACAATAGTAAGGAGTATGTAAACCAAAATTTTCACAATTTTCTCAAAACTAATGGTGTTGCTCATGAGTTGACTTATGTTGACACTCCACAACAAAATGGGGTTGCTGAAAGGAAAAATCGCCATCTTCTTTCCGTCCGTGTCCATTATGTCAAGTCTTCAGAATCGTGTTTTTGGTTGTTCTGCCTTTGTCCATGTTCATGGTCCTCATCGGGGTAAGTTAGATCCTCGGGCTATTAAATGTATCTTCATAGGATATGCTTCAGATAAGAAGGGGTACAAGTGTTATCATCCTCCTAGTCGTCGTGTCTATATATCTATGGATGTTACTTTTCAGGAATCTGAGTCTTTTTATCCTAGTCCTCAGCTTCAGGGGGAGAATAATCAAGAAGCTGAGTCTTCAGAGCTGTCTGTCATTCCTGTTATTCCTCTAATACCGGACCCAGAGCCGTCTCCTGAGTTGTTTGTTATTCCTCTAATACGGGACCCAGAGTCGTCTCCTAAGTTGTCTGTTCTTCCTGTTATTCCTGTAATACAGGAGCCCTTGATGCCTAATGAGGATGGTGGTGATGTACCAATACCGGTGCATAATAATGTCGACAGATACAAGTTACAGTTCCAGCGAAAAAGGTGGAAAGGTAAACTCGTTCTGCCCCAACAAGTCTAATCGTCTGAACCTGAGGTAAGTGTTCCTAACCCTGAGCCTAGTAATTTTTGTGAGTCAAACCTTGATGACCTACCTATTGCTTTGAGAAAAGAAAAAAGGTCTGGTACCAAATACCCTATATCCCAGTTTGTGTCTACTGAAAAGCTTTTTGTGCAACATCAGAGTTTTATTTCAGCTATTGACTCTATTAGAGTCCCTGCATCAGTACAAAATACATTAAAGGATAAGAATTGGATTCAAGCCATGAATGAAGAGATGCATGCACTAGAGAAAAATGGAACTTGGGAGATTATTGAGAAGCCAAATGACAAGAGGCCAGTAGGCTGCAGGTGGATATATACGGTAAAATACCGATCCGACGGTACACTCGACAGATATAAGGCGAGGCTTGTTGCAAAGGGATACACCTAGACCTATGGAATTGATTATGAAGAGACATTTGCTTCAGTAGCAAAAATAAACACTGTAAGAATCATTCTTTCTTTGGCAGCTTACTTTAATTGGGAGTTGCAACAGTTTGATGTGAAAAATGCTTTCATGCATGTAGATTTGGAGGAAGAGGTGTATGTGGAGATTCCACCCGGATATGACCCTACTTCAGGAAGTAATAAGGTTTGCAGGTTAAAGAAGGCCATATATGGGCTCAAGCAATCACCCCAGACGATTTGGGAGGCTCACTCATATTATGGTGTTCTTGGGTTATAAACAAAACCAAGGTGATCATACTCTCTTTATAAAGCATGCTTAAAATGGTAAACTCACTCTTTTGTTAGTCTACGTAGACGATATGATCATAGCTGGTAATGATGAATTTGAGAAGAACTTAAGGAAGGAGTTGGCAACTCAGTTTGAAATGAAGGATCTTAGAAAGTTGAAATATTTCCTAGGTATGGAGGTAGCATACTCAAAACAAGGCATTTTCATTTCTCAGAGAAAATATGTCCTTGACCTTCTCAAAGAGACTGGCAAGTTGGGTTGTAAACCCTCCAAAGTGCCTATAGAGCAAAACCACAAGATTGGGAGTGATGAGGAAAGCCCAAGGGTTGATAAAGCTCAATACCAGAGACTTATGGGAAAGCTCATTTATCTATCTCACACCAGGCCTGACATAGCTTATCCGGTTAGTGTTGTCAGTCAATTCATGCATGACCCACAGGAGAGGCACTTACAGGCAGTGGATAGAATCTTGCAGTATCTAAAGATGAGCCCAGGAAGAGGACTACTGTTCAAGAAAAGTGAGCAGTTGTCTATGGAGATTTATACTGATGCGGATTATGCAGAGTCGATTGTTGACAGAAGATCCACCACTGGATATTGTATGTTCCTAGGTGAAAATTTAGTGACATGGAGAAGCAAGAAACAAAATGTAATTACCAGATCAAGTGCAGAGGCAGAGTTTAGAGCCATGGCTCAAGGAGTTTGTGAACTGTTGTGGATGAAGATCATTCTAGATGACTTGAAAATAAAGTATGAAACTCCTATGAAACTTTTCTGCGATAATAAGTCTGCCATTAGTATTGCTCACAATCCGGTCCAACACGACAGAACAAAGCATGTAGAGATAGACCGACACTTCATCAAAGAAATTAGATACTGGTCTTATTTCTACACAGTACGTCCCATTAGGACTTCAGTTAGCTGATGTGCTCACCAAAGGACTTCCCTTGGAGCGGTTTCGAGATCTTACTTGTAAGCTGGGGATGATAGATATCCACTCCCCAACTTGAGGGGGAGTGTTGGAAGTTATTAGAGAGATAAGTACAAAATCAACAGACTTTATATTGTACAACTCAGCATAATATTCATTGTAAATAATAATTAGTAATTAGCTATTAATAATTAGTAATTAGTTGTCTTCTACCATATTTAAAATTAACATTTAGAATTAGCATTTAAAGTGATTTGTCTTTTGTATTCTATAAATATCTTTCATGTATTACTTACTACAATATCAAAGAAATACAAATTATTTGTTTCTTTATTAACATTTGAAATATCCAATTTAGATCTGATTTAAATTTCATTGTTTATCTTATATTTCTTTCCTATATTGTACAAGATCTATTACTGTTTCCTAACTTTCTATGACTTAACACAAATAAGAGAATGATAACTATTTCTTATAAAAAAGAGAACTATAACTCTTATAAAAAATAACAATAAGAATAGTACTCACCAAAGTTACTTTTGGCACTAAAGCATTCTTATACTGAACTTTTGTATGCTGAACGGATTTTTCTTCATCAAAATCATCTCTGTCAACCAAGTCTGACAGTTTTTTGCCTTTATATTTATCAGGATTAAGATCCATATCATTCAAAATCATTTGCTCAGCTACATTGATCTGCCACAACTGTAAAAAAAGTATTTATGTGATGAGCAAGTAAAGAATATCCAACCGTGATTTCAGGAAAGAGCGAGTAAATGCAGATAAAAAAGAAAGTATCACAGATGCAAGAAACAGAATGCTTCACTTCTAAGCCTCCTAGAATTCAAACAGATTCCGCCTCTTTCATTTCTATTCCTTCCCTCATACCCATGCCCCCTTCCCCATTCTGTTGGGTTCCTTTCTAACAGATCCCACCACCTCAATTTCCTTTCTCCTCTTATCATTACTAACCCTGTTGTTATATCTTTGATACACATGAACTAGGCCCTAAATAATCATAGATTTGGGTGCCCATTACTACGATATCAGAATCATTATAAAACTACAAGGCAAAGTATGACAAGTCACTCAACGAAGAAAGTTCATGCTCCTGTCACATGATTTTAAATTTCTAGTGATGATTTACCAGCACTCACAATATCATTTGTCATGACTCGTGAACATTGCAGACTTGAAAACAGCCCTGTATAAAATTATTCTGTTCTAAACCAAGTGCTGCAACTCATGCGACACATAGTTTCTTTACGGACCACTTGATCCCAAACCGGAATAAGGCCACTCTGCCTTCATATTAGCCAACCCTTGCAATTCCCAGACAAAGCTCTAGGGAAAAAAAATGTTACCACACCACTTAGGTAAAATCTAGGGTGAACCATCAGTTAAATGGTTCATGGTGAACCATCAAAAAGAGCCATTGGCTTAAAGTGTTATACAGGATATTATAGTTTACCGCTCACACAGAATAACATTCACTTTCTTCATCCTCTCTTTCTCCCGTGCTCACAAGCATCACCATGTGTCCCAAGAACTCGCATAAGACAATCATTCTATTTTCACCTGTGATGTAGATATAGGTTGCCAAGAGGCCTAGCCAATTACATCTGTTTTTTATTGCCCTCTTTCTTTAGACATCAAAGGCAAAAAAATCAAATAAAGGAGGAGAAACTCATTTGTCCTCTAAGTGCATCACACCTAACAGTTCAGATTAAAACTTATTTAATTGAAGTCAATCTACCTGTCTATATCATAATTGCATTGCCATGTTATAACAGGTGTTTTTCAGTGCACATTACTTTTTGAGCATATTTGAGTTCAAATTTTAACCCAATGAAGGGCTAGTCTATTGAGTGTAGGTGATGGATCAATTATAAAAGAAACAATATTTATACGAAATCAGCAGGATTAAAGTATTTTAGACCAAAACCAGAAGTTATACTGGTTTTAGTCGGGAAATAATGGATGAAGCTCGTAAAAATCATCCAATTTATTTGGGACCCATATTGTCACACGGTAGCTTCATTACCAGAGTTAATGCAGTATCAGAAGCTTTAGCTATATGAGTCAGACATGATAGGACATTACCAGGGTGGGATAATCATTTATAAACACCACCCCTTATCTTCTATGGCCGGGTTTCCCAGTAATATTGATTCATAAATAAGCACCTCAATCTATTATATTAGTTTTGGGATCCATATTGTCACACAGTAGCTTCATTACCAGAGTTAATGCAGTATCAAAAGCTTCAGCAATATGAGCTTTAGCATTAAATAAGAATTGCCTCTATCTGAAACAACGGATTCTAGTGACCAAAAATGGCTATGTGCTAATATTGTAACTAACACACAGGGAAAAAGGTTATAAACAAAAAAAATAAAGCATGCATACACAAGGGATTTGGAACCATCATTGATGTCTATTGGCAGATATATCCTATGCATGACCTAAACAGTCTACTGGAGTTGTTCCCATCATTTTTTTTTAAAACAGTCCATCAGAAATACCTTTTCAACGTACGGGTGATTAGAAAATAGAGGTTCTTCTACTGGCTTGTCTCCTGGATCTTTTCTAGGAACAGGAGGTCTTCCACAGTCACGCTGCAAATTTTAAAATATCAGATAGAAAAAATATAATCATAATAAAGCATTAATTTTGATATCAAGACATATCTGACAGGCTTAAAATAGAAACATGCATCCTTTGGGGGGGGGGGGGGGTGGTGACAGTTAATGGTTTATGGAGTATCCATTGAAAAAGAACCAATGATTTTGTCAAATGGTAAGCCTTTCGTACCAATTCTTCCCAAAGTATCAACTTCATACAAATTTTAACAAGTTGAATTCCAATTGATCAATCTGCCTCTAATCTTCTGAATTAAAATCAAGAGTTACACAGAATTTGTAATTTTTAAACAATATCCAACCCATCAGCATCTGACCAGTGATTAATAATAGTCCACGCAAACAGAAACTTCTATTTTGATAAATTAAATTGGCGTGCAGAGGCACTACAACAGAACCCAACCAAACAGATACCACAATTGCTCTTAAGCTTTCACAGTCAACAAAACCTTGGAGTTAATTTAAATTTGAACTTTTACTTTTTAAATGATGAAAGCATGATGGACTATACCAGAACAAAGTTACAATACAAAGAGCTTTGGAGCTCGTTCAATGCAAAATTATTTTTCAGCAAAAAGATTGAGGTGGTTTAGGGAAAGGTGCCAACCTGCATTTCATCTAGATTAGTATCTTCCTCGCGGTGGAATATTGGTGGGAAGTCAAATCTGTTAAAGCTGAAGTATGAAAATAAAAAATATGTTAAAATCATTAATTGTAATCAAATTAATAAAGCTAGAACTATTTATTATGAACTGTTGTTTATAGAAGGTTGAACATCACAAACACATAATCATACATCAGATGATCTATATTTGGATCAACAAAACGGAGTTCAATTGGGAATCGGAAGCGATAAGGATCTCGCTTTGCCTGCAAAGTAAAAATGTGAACGAGTTAATAAGTAAACATTCATCAAAAGAAATCCACTTATAGCCAAATATGGGTATAATGGAACTATGTATATGTTATAGAATCAGACAAAAAACCTTGTGTATCCCACCTATATTGCCTATAAAAAGATGCAGAAAAGCTTAAAATATGGATACACAAGAACCAACTTCAGTCACATGCAACCATTGACATGATTAAGGGCCCGTTTGTTTTGGCTTTTTTTTTAAAATAATTTTAAAGTGTTACGTAATTTTGTGTAAAAAAAATTTACAAAGAAACTTTTTATAAAAGCATCAAATGAAAATTTGGTTTGAATAGTTATTCTTAAAATGTTATTTTAAATATTTGATCTTTTTATTGAAGCTATTTTTGGATATCAAAATTTAAAAAAATCGCTTAATTTTAAAGCTATTTCAAATAGATTTTCGTAAAAATCATTTTTGAAATACAACTTTTTTAAAAAATTATGATTTGGACTATGTGTTAGTCTTCAATAATATATGTTTATGTTTATAGGATGTTAAAATTAGTGTTTCAATTTAGAAAAAGCAAATATTAAAAAACAGTTTTGTAAAATCTATTTTAAAAAATACAAAGAAAAAATCCATTTTTTAAAGCTAAAACAAACAGGCCCTAAATGAATAAATGATGAATTATAGTGCAAAGTTGAAACTAAAGTAGACCTTTATTAGTACCAAAATGTAGAGTTGTCAAAATGGACCAGCCCATATGGCTAGGCCCGGCTGGCCCGAAAAATCATAGGACTTGGGCCATCAAATTAGAGCCTATATTTTTAAGGCTTTTTTAGCCCTGCCCTAAAAAGCCCGCTACCCATTAGGGCTAGCCCGCATGGGCCATGGGTTGCCCATTAGGTCCGCATAGATATTAATTTTTAAAAAAATTATATTAATTCTTATATTGTGTTACTTCAAAATAACACATTGATTTTTGTCACTTCACCAAATTTTGTCTCTATTCTATTCAATCTCTATTTTTTAAATATTATACATTAATATAATCAACACTCTTTTTTCGTATTATATTAATTTCTCTTATGTTAAATATTTGAGTATTATTTTCTACAATTTAGACATGTATTGTATTTTAAAGCATATTATAGTATTTATAAGGGATAATATAGTACTTAAAAAATGTATTATTTTCAAAATAATATAATTTTTTATTTTATTTATAATAAATATTATAGATTTTTTATTTTAATTTTTTTATTTTAAAAAAAAACGTTTAGGACCGAGTAGCCCGAAGCCCATCTAGAGCCGGGCTCAGGTTCAAAACTTAGAACAGCTTTTGATGGGCGAGGTTTAGGATTGGGTCGTCAGTTGGGTTAAACATGCCCTCACTTCTCTTTCGAATGGAGTGAGCAATAAACCAGAAAATTGGACACCTGATGTACCAAAAAACGCAGCACCAACTAGTTTTGCTAACGAGTCAAAAACAGGCTACAGTTTGACAAGTAACAGTATGAGCTAAAAGCATCATCACTGTGTTATCAAGTAGTGTAAGGTAAATATTAAGTAAAAACTAGAATGAAAAATTCTCAACTGGTGACTGAAATACTCACCGTAATTTCAACAATGACGGTCATACCCACATTTATATGATGGCGAATCCAAAACCAATCATTGTTCTTTATAGGAACCCACCTAGAATACATTACAGTAAATGAATATCCAGAAGAAAATTCACATGAAAATAAAAGCTGAAACAGTGGCAGTGAACAAGATAACAGATAACAGTGCTATAGAAGTAAAGCCTCAAAGTTACTCATAATAACAGTATGAAGTGCTGGTTTCACAGCTGCAACAAACAAAAGAAAATATGCAATAATCCATGGCTGCATATACTATTACTGAGAAAACAATATCACCTAGTCAAAGATCAAAAATAGAGAAATCAATTTCGATATTTAATAGTTTTCACCCAGTAACCTGGGCTACCACATGATGCAAAAGAGACAGTATGGTTTCCCTCTAATTCTAGTCTATATATAAACAACCAGTACTTTTTTCTCTAGCAAAATAACATAACAAAAGTCCAAGGATTTAACCAGTCTCAAGTATGTATTTCTTGGTACTTGTTTTGTTACTGCTGTGGCTTTAGGTGTCAATGCCGCTTTTCCCAATTTTAAAATTTGCCCCATTGTTTATTTTTGTCCCCAAGGATATTGATTATGTGTGCATTAAATGCCCTTCAACATTCTAAAATTATAGTTACTAACTTAGCAAGAATATCATTGTGGAAGCAACTCCATATTACTTGAGTAGTACTCCAGCACCCAAAACAATGAGGAAATGAACAACCTAGGCAAAAAAAAAAGAGTTAAGGGAACACTTAAAAAAAGGACACAGGGAGAGGTAGATACCCATCATATACCCCGCCAATGTCAACAAATGCCCCTTGATAGAGATGCAAAGTTGTCACCTTCCCCACACAAATCTGCAATGAAAAATTTCCCAGGTAATTAACAATTCCACACAAAATTATCATTTGAGCATTTACGAAAATTTGAATCACAATCCTACATATTTATTATGATACAGAAAAAAGACTGATTTTAATTATATGGATGCAAATAAAATAGGATCATCTATTGGATTACAAATAGAGTTGTCCAATTAGAAACATTATAACTGAACAAAACCAAAAAAGAAAGAAAAAAATGTGACAACGTGATGCTGTAATTGAAGGGTAAAATCAGCTATTCATAGTTTTCTTAAACAAATATCCCAAATTATACAATTATAAAATACAAATTTTACATCGTCATTATTGAAAAAATCACTAAACATGTCTACCGAAGACTATCCCAAGCCTGCCATATGAAATCAGTTTCTTTACAACAACAATACAATATAATATAATCCATAAGGCATATGACTTAAGAATTGATGAGTAGCTTACTTGACCAGGATAATAGAATGGTAACTCGTACTGCAAGAAACATGAAACAATTAAATAAAAGTTAGCACAAGAATATCTTTACTTTCTAATATTCCAATGAAACACACATAAAAAAAAAAAAGCAATCCTACCATGCCCTCTTTGTAGTCCTTGCCTCTTTTCCTCCTACCAGGGTAATAATCTTGGTCTAGCTGTCACATTCATATCAAAGTTAGCATTAACAATCCACATAAACCAAAGCAAAAAAAAAATTCATGAATGCTAGTTGCATTTTGCACAAGTATGAAATTGAAACCTTATAAGATTCCTCTTCCAACAAGTCCTTGTTAGCTTCCACCCACTCATTGTATTGCTTCAGAAACATCTTATACCGATCCAAACACACATCATCAGTCTCAGTTCTAACTCCATTTTCAATATCCTCTAACTTGACCCTCTTCGCCTGCAACTTATGTGCTTCTCGAATGAACTCGAGTTCCTTCCGGTCGACCTCCCACCCTCGGGGAGGCCAATCACGCGGAGGCACTAACCTGACCACCAGCGGTCCGGCCCACTTGGTCTCCAACGGCTCCGGAATCTCTCCCTTGATTTCAAACTGCTTCGCCAAATACTCCTCTTCCGTCAATCCCATTTCTTCAATTTTCTTCTTACGGTACCTAGGGTTCAACATTCTGAACGCTTCGATGGACTCCGGCGAACTGAGAGGAACCTCTTCACCTTCGTTGAGACTGTGACGCGCGAATTGGGCTTCGGGAGTGAGGATTTCATCCCAGGGAGCCCAGCCGCGTTCGATCCAGTTGCGCTTTCGAGCTTCATCCTCGGATTCCTTGCTATTGGGGCCGAAGGTCTGGAGGAAGGTCTCGTCGACGGGGAACTCCTCGGAGGAGAAGGACTTTGCAACGGTGGAGGGTGGTGGTTTTCGGAAGAGTAGAGGCGGAGGACGACAGTGGAAGTGAAAAGGGGGAGAGGGAGGGTTTAAGGGTTTAGGAAAAGTGAAGAGATAAGAATTGGGAAAGACTTGCATTGTTACAATGCTCACACCACCTTGTTTCACAAAACCAGCATGTAATTTGCTTATGTGTAGATATATTGAGCAAGCAGATAAAGTTCAAAATTTTAATATGATAAGTGTTATTAATATACTTAAAAACAAACTTGTGCATTTGTACGAATTCCTGTATCAAAAGCATATTTGTTTTAAATGTATATTTTAAAATAAAAAATATCAGATTATCGGTAAAAAAAAGTAATAATTGAATCTATAATTAATAAAAAAATATTTTCATCATTAATTTTAATTTTTTATTAATAATTAATATTGTTATCAATAATTTTATGTAATTTTTATTAATATTTTGACATGTAATTTTATGTTTTTGTTATTGATCTGACCTGATCAGAAATGGACCGTCACGGCTGGCTCCGAGCAGAGAGCTTTTTTGAACGAGGTGGGGGGTACCTGCAAGGCACTCCGATGCTGAAGTAAGTAGGAGTACGAGCAAATAATAGTAAGTTGAGGTTAGAATGATGAATACCTGACCCTCTGGAAACAGAGGGTATTTATAGCCCTCAGCGCTGGGCCAAGGTCCCTTCATTGGGCCAGGCGGATTTGGCCCAATGGAGGAACTGCCAGGTTCTACGTGGGTAGTGGGGACCCGCACGTGGTTCCCTTCCTGGATGTGCTGCGTGAAGTGCGGGCGGACGAAGACGCGGTCTTTCCGGAGTATCGTTGGGGGAACGGTGGACTGAGTCTGCCCTAGTTGGGATGCTCGAGACAACGTCGAGCTGGACAGCAGGGTGTCGAGCTGGACGGCAGGGTGTCGAGCTGGACGTCAGGATGTCGAGCTGGACGTCAAGAGGTGGAGCTGGACATCATCACTTGGAGTTGGACAGTGAGACGTCGAGCTGGACATCAAGATGTCGGGCACGGATGTGACCCCTTTGCTCGGCGTGGTCCTCAGTAAGTCCCTTTGGATTGGGCCTTAGTAATGCTTTTGGGCCTGTCGGGCCCAGTCCAGAACAGGAGCCCCCCAAGTCGTGGTTCCTTAGCGAGGAGCCATGACTTGAACCCAAGTTATTCCCTCGTTGAGGTCTCGTGCCCGGGATGGAGGTGTGGGCCCTCGAGGGCCTCCTCGTGTCGTGCTCGGAGACGTCCTCGGTGGTGGATACGCGGAGGATCCTTACCGGGCGCGTCGGTTGAGCACACGAGGTATCTTTCGGGAACTGTGACGCCACCCTATGGGGGTAGGGTTATCATTGCGTTGGGAGCAGTGCGTCGAGGAGATGGAGTCCGTGGTTGCCCGAGGTGACGTTTGGTATTCCACGTCATCACTATAAATAGGAACCTTGGGCCCCATAATACGTTTTCTGCTCTCTGTGCTTTCTCTGCTGTTGCTCTCCCAGATTTTTTCCAGTTGCGACTTCTCGTCACAGATTCCTCCATTTCGTAGCCAGATCCCACTCTTTGATCCAAGTAAGTGACCTATCTTCTTCATTTTTCTGTTTAGAATGCATGATTTCTGGCGTTTGTAGATGTTTTAGGATCGGGCGCATGGGATTAGCCCGGTAAACTCGTGCTTAGCCCGACACATTCATGTCTAGGACCGGCAAACGCATGTTTGTGGCCGGCACATTCATAGTTTAGGTGATAAACTTCAGAGCTGCTCGGGGTCTTCATGATCCAGGGCGCTTGATTCACGATCGCACCCGGTATGTTCATGATCTTGGCCGTGGGCTTCATGGTGCGGCTCGCCATGTTCATACCTCGGGCCGACATGCTTGGAGAGTGGCCGTGCAGTTGGTTTGAGGAAGAACACCGGGTTCAGGACGTCGGGGAGGCAACCATTCGTGGAAAATAGACTTATGTAGTCGTGTATGGGACGACATGATTTTGTCGAGCGTAGGGCTTCGTGCTCAACTGACTGGTTTCCCGTGCTCTGCAGGTAACCATGGCGGACGAGCCGAGCTCTTCCGGACGCCGCGACCGTGACGAACAGGGTGCCAACGAGTCGGTCACCCTGATTGATACCGTGACCGACCCATTGCTGGAATGGGTGGGTGTCGAGCCGCGGGGGATAGCGTCGGTATATAGTCGGGATGACCGACATCCATTCACTGTCATTGAAGAGGGTCAAGACCAGCCCGGCTTCCAACAAAACTTCGTAGTCATGATTCCGTCAACCGGTGCAAGGATTTGCTCGGTCTATCCGAATTACAGCCTCGCGATGTATGAGATCGCGTTTAAAGACCTAGGGCTGCGGCTGCCATTCACTGATTTTCAGGCCGGGGTCTTTATGCACTTGGAGCTGGCCCCGTCCCAGCTACACCCAAACTCTCTCGCCTTCATCCGGGCGTTTGAGTTGACGTGTCGCTACCTGAGGATCGGGGCGACCATCCCTCTTTTCTTCCGGGTATTTCACCTGCAGCGTCAGTCCCGAGGAGGGAAACATAGCTGGGTCTCCCTGAAGCAGTCGAGGAGACTCTTTAAGATGTATATGGACTCCGTGAGGGGGTTTAAAGACAAGTGGTTCGTGGTACGGCCAGTTACCGACGCTGCTTTAAATTCCCTTTTCGAGGAGGAGGGGCCAGTGAGCGACGATGATGGGGAAACGATGATGAGCGACGACGGGAGCCCTGTGTTGGGTCGTAGGGCTAAATTCCCGGTGTACTGGATGTCCCGACATTACGAGCATGGGACCGGTTATTACCATACCGCCGTCGGGGACATGTGCTCGGAGGATCAGCGGGCGTACGACGCTCTTTGCCGGTTTGTCGACAGTTTTCATCCCGCCCGATGGGTTACGCGGGAAGAGGATGATATCCTGGACAAAGATGGTTACCCGACGTTCGAGTCCTGTCCGATCGACACCAAGGCGCTGGTGGAGTGTCCGACTTACAGGCAGGCTGCCCGCCTGTTAGGTTGTTTGCTTGAAATTCTTTATTCGTCATTTACTCATGAAGTTTGCTCGATACTGACTTTTCCTTTATTTCGTGCAGGTACGATGGCTAGCCGACATGAAAGGCTCTTGAAATTATCCTGCGACCAGAGGCGTGGCAGGAGGGTCGTGAAGGCCCCACAGGCGACGAGGATGGGTCCCCCACCCAGTCCAAATGTTCCTCAGCCGGTGAGGGTGGACTCGCCGTCGAGCTCGGGAGCCGCGTCGGATCCAGAGGTCGAGGAGATCGACCCCAGTGCCGTTTTGACGCAGAGGAAGAGGACCCGTGTGGAGGGTGGTTCGACTGTCGGCGAGGACGCCGACGCTGTTAAATCTTTCGCCTTCCCCCCTTGTTTCGAAGAGGCGGGCTTTTTCGAGCGATTCCCCCCGACAGTGGTTGCCCATGAAGCTGAGGCCATAAAAAAGATGAGTAAAGAGGAAAGGAAGGCGTATCTGGCCGCCAGCGTGGACGGGCTGGTAAAAATGGCTGAAATGGCTTTGGTGTTATCTGAGGATGGAGGGGATGCTGCCCGTGTTGAAGAACTCGAGCAGGAGAAGGCGGCGCTGACCGCGAGCTCGTGGAAGTTGAAGGTCGCTCTGGAACGCTCCGAGGGGATGTTCCGAGAGCAGACCGCGATGCTCGATGCTGAGAGGGAGATGTTGACCCTGGAGAAGGAGAAATCGGGGAAGTTGACTGAGGAAGGGGAGCTTCTTCGGGCGGACAGGGATCGCCTGGCGGCCGAAGTCGAACGCTTGGGTAAACAGGTCGAGGAAATGAATGCTACCCTGCAACCTGCCGAAGATGAGCCCGAGGACATAGTAGCTTTGAAGAGTCGGGCGGAGCTGGTCGCCCACATCCGGCTCCTCGAGGTGGACTGCGTTGGTGCCTTGGAGGACGGGTTCAATTCTGCGGTCGATCAACTCTCCTTGCTAAACCCTGGCCTGGTCACTGAGGGTATCGGTCACACACACCGGATTGTAGGTGGCGTGATCGTTCCTCCGCCCGACTCTCCTAACGCCGACAATGATGATTCCGTGGAAGTCTGAGTAGGATAGCGGGCCTGCGTGCCCTTGATATTTGTATTCTTTGGGCCTGCGTGCCCGTTTATTGTATGTTATGAACATCGCCGACCTTCTTGGTCGGTTTACTATTGTTTTGTCGCCTTCGGGCATTTATATCAATGTTGTTTTACATTTTGGATTTTTGCCCTTGTTTGAAATCATATGCTTGCATGAATTTAGCCTAAGCCACGGGCCCGAGGAGTGCCCGTAAGTGGCTTTGATTTGGCGATCGAATATGCTCGACTCCGTTTGTATTCGTTCCCGGCCCTCTTTCGATTGGCCAGAACCACCTAAGTGTTGCGCTCGAGGGGAGAGATTTTCTTTTGACCCTTGTAGATGGCCCGTTATTCTTGATGAAATGTCGGGCATTTCGGAGCGAGGTTGCTCAGTCGGGCGCGGAGCCCGTTAGGACGATTCGCCCTTGGCGTGAACTGCCCATCGCGAGCTGGGTGTTTTTCCTTATGGGTACAACGACGGTGGGGCTCGGTATAGCTGTCCAGGTCGGGCACTATCGATCGTCATCGTTTACCGCGCGATGCTGTGCTATTTTGGTCGTACGTCGGGCTTGTACCTTAGCCTTATACGAAATTGGACGTTTTTCCTCGTTGACCGAGCGCGGGTGCTGCTGGTCGAGGGTCCCAGGTGTTGACAGTTTCTAACTGTAGTACTGCTTTAGCTTAGCAGCATTCCAGGGTCGTGGTAATGGCTCTCCATCTAACTACTCGAGATAGTACGCCCCGGTACCCGTGGTGCCGTGGACGCGGTAAGGTCCTTCCCAGTTCGCGGCCAACTTCCCTTCGCGGGAGTCTTTCTGGTTCCTGCGTAGTACCAGGCTGCCTATTTCGAACTCGCGCTTGATGACCTTGTCGTTGTGGCATAGAGTCACTCGTTGTTTTAGGGTGGCTTCGCGCAGGGCAGCCCCCGATCGGATTTCCTCGACTAGGTCGAGTTCATCCCTTAATGCTTCGTCATTCATTTCTTCGTCGAGGGGTTCTTCTGTTCGTCGGGATGGTTCCATGATTTCGAC